CGAGGGACAGGGATGGGTGGCCCCCCCACAGCTGGGAGATGCCCCGTGCAGAGTGGTCCCCACGATGCTCAGGGTGGTGTGGTCCCAACATCGACCCGCAGCCTCCCCTGGGTGCTGGGGACAGCCCCTGCCTTCCCTCGCCTCCTCACTTTCCCCGCGGTCCTGGGGACACGGCGGGTATTTTCCCTTTTTCTCCCCATATTTGTGCCCAGGGCAGCAGGGAGCCCCGCACGCACCTCCCGGGGAGCCGGGGCTGCTCCGGCTGAGTATCACCACCTTAAATAAAACATGCCAGCGGGAGCAGGCGGCCGCTGCGCGTTCGCTCTCTTTATTATTTCATACCTCCAGCTCCCAGGCGGGTTTAGCTGCTTTGCTCGCTGAGCGCTCGCCCGTGGCCTCCGTGTCCCTGGCAGAACCGCAGGGCTCCCCGGGGTCCCCGCGTCCCCTCCTCTGCCACCATCCCTGTGTCAAAGATCGCCTCCCCCTGTTGCTGGACCCCCCAAAGCCCATAAGGGTTTGAACCCACCTCTCGGATGAAGGGGAGCGGAATGGGTCCATCCGGATGGGTCCTGACAGCATCCGTCTCTCTGTCCGCAGAGGATGAGCTGCGGGTACATCCTGTGCACCGTCCTGCTCTCGGTGGCCGTCCTCCTGGCGGTGACGGTCACAGGGGCCATCCTCTTCATGAACCACTACCACACGCCCGTCACCGAGTCGCCCCCCGTCATCAGCACCAACCCCGAGGAAGCCAACGCGCTGGTCACCATCGAGAAAGCCGACAGCTCCCGCATCAACATCTTCATCGACCCCAACTGCCCCGACGCGGCGGGCACCTTCGGGCGCCTGGAGGGGCTGCAGAACTCCCTGCTGCACGCCGTCACCGACCACGACGCCGAGGCCAAGGCCACCAAGAGCCAGCAGAAGGCCCTGCTGGTCACCATGGCGGATGAGGTGTCCAAGCTGCTGACGCACGCCTTGCAGCTGCGTGCCGACTGCGATGGCCTCAAGAAGGGGCACAGCGCCATGGGGCAGGAGCTCAGCGCCCTGCAGGGCGAGCAGGGCAGGCTCATCCAGGTGAGCCAGGGTTGGGGATGCCACACGGTGCTCCTTGGGGACAGACCCGCCCTGTCCCCGTGTCCCCAGGGCATGGCTGCTTGCAGCCCCTGCGCAGTGTCCAGGAGAGACCTCCAGCAGAAGGGGCTGACATTTAAGGCAGGCGCTTGGGAACTGCAAGTTTGGAAGCACAACTTCAGCTCCAGCTCATCAGCTGCCTGCGTTCCACTGCCAAACCGCCCCAGTGCTGGCGAGCCGGGTGTGCAGCCTCCCACGTGTGGGTCTCCTGGCTCCAGGTCCAGTTTGGGGGCTCCAAGCAAAGCCGAGCACAGCACAGGACCATCCCAAGGGCAGTTCATGCAGCAATCAGCCTCTCCTTATTTACAGTCCCAAAAATTTCCCAGCTGATGACCTGTGTTGAAATGCTTACCTGGGTCTGCCGGGGGTCTGCTGGGCATTGTAGCAAGACCCAGGGCACGGCTGGATGCTTGGCTCCATGCCCGTCCCTCCTGGTGCTCCTGCCGGAGCTGTTCGATCCCCGTTGCTTTGCTTTGCTCCCCGTCCTGCTGCTCTGCCACGGCCACCCCATGTCACTCGCCCGGCCCGGGTCACCTCGGGGTACGG